ATTTTAAATGTTTTCATTTTCTCATTATTATATTTAATCCAATGATTTTTTTTTAATGAGATCTTTTTGAAAGATCTTTGATCTTTCTTCTTTGAAAAATTTACAAATTTTTTTTCGACATTTGGCTTTTAAAGAAATTTTATTTTTTATAATTGTAAAAAATAAATACTATTTTCTTTACGTTACCTAGCTTATTAAAAAAAATTTTCTTATCGATTTTGATGATTTTTGGATTTCGAAATCATTTAGAAATTAATATTTTAAATAACTTTTTTTTTTCTCATAACTGTCAGTTTTATTTTTCGAAATATTTCCAAAACAAAAATTATTATTATAAATATTATATATAAACTTATATATAAAATTTTTTTATATATTTTTTATATATTAACATTCACATTACTTTTTCAACATGCGATCCATATTTATCTTCTTGTTAATATGAATATATATAGCAGTAATATGGATTAATAAGATATAATAATGACTAAAAATTTACTTTTTAATAATAAATTATAGTAGGCTTTAAATATCTTAAATTCAAAAATTATAAAATATAAAACAATTCTTGGACATTCGAAATTACAATGATCAAATTACAATAATAGATATCTTATAAATATTTGGTGGTTTTTCATTAATATTTTGATTTTCATAATAACTAATATTTTAATTTTCAGGCAAAAAATCATTATAAAATAATAAAAATCAATTTTTAGAAGAAAAAATTCTAAATTATATAAATTATGTTCATAATAAATATTCAAACTCATGAATCTTATAACTATTTATCATAATATTATTATACAATATAATATATTAATTACAATATAATAATATTATAATATATTATTATACAATATAAAAAATATTACTTTATTGTTTATTATTTGATATAATAGTCAAAATTAATTAAAAAGTTATAATGAATGATAGGAAAAAATTTTTTCGCAAACAATAAATAGTTATAAAATTTATACAAACTTAAATATATTGAAGCATAGAATAATGTTGATATTATTATATTCTGAAAATGATATTAATTAGAATTATCTAGAAAATAAGTTTCCTCACCAATTTTAAGATATGTTAGAAATCAATATTGTTATTAATTTTTTAGTGTTAATTCTTTCCTATGTATATAATTACTGCTTAACCATAATTTTTTAATCTTATTCTTTTCATATTATCTCTAAAACAAATAAAACAGTTGATACACAAAAATGTTAGAAACTTTTTTATTAAATTTTCATAATTTAATAGTAGACAATTTAGTAGTAAATAAAGCAAGTGAAACCGGTTTGTCTCTGCCAGCTTAGTCTATTTCATTTTATTTAATGTAACTTAAAGTTACTTAAATTAAAAATTTTACATGACTCTAAAAAATAAGATTCAATTAATATTTGTATATCAATTTCCGTGTTTATTTTGACTTCCAGAAAAGTGACATACAAGTATATTAATATCTAATATTATATATTTTTTGATTTTTTTTTAAATTAAACTTTTTTTAAATTTAAATTTTTTTAAATTTTTATATTTCTTTATCCTTTTCTCTTTTTTCCATTATAGCGTTCAAGGAAAATTATTACAAAATGTGAACAAATAGACAATATTTTAGAATCATTCGGAATTGAGAAAAATTACAAAAAAACCTTCTTTCAAGCAATACAAATATTAATTATATCTAGCACAATAATGATAAGCATGATTTTATTGAATTTGTTTTATATTATTTCCAAAGAAGAAAAACAAAAATTCGATTTAAGTATTCTCATATATATAATAATAGCAACTATGTATTTGGGGATTTTTACTTTCACAATATTTGTAAGGTAAATTATATATAAGAAAAAAGTGCTAATGAAATTAAAAATAATTGAATAGAAAAATATATATTTCTGAATTTAAGATTATGTTTTTTTTTTAAAAGTATGTAATGATATATTTTAAATTTTTCATAACTTATGGTAATATAATTATTAATTGTCAGATTAACTGATAAATTTAAGAAATATCTATTTTTAATAAACAATTTTACTATTAGTATTTTATATTAATACAAGTTGTGTATTTTTTTCCAAATATTCTTATATACAAAAAGTATGTATAAAGAACATTATAGCGTGATTTTATATCTTTGAATCAGTGAGAATCTGATAAATAAAAATGCGTGCAAAAATGATTTTGATAAAATCATAAAAAAATATTGATAAAGTACTTTTTATAAATCTTTATCAATTCATCATGTTATAATATATTTTATACTTATTATTTATATATTCTATAAAATACTATAAGTAATTATGAAATCACTTATATTATTACAATTTTTATAAAAATGAAAGAAAAATTATTTACATATTTCTATATTTCGATACAAAAAAAATATAGAAATAATATTTTTTTTTTAAATGAAAAAGAATATTCTTTGTTGTATTTTAAATTTTGTGTGATAAAATCAATATGTAATTTTAATCTTTACATTTAATATTCAATAAATTTTCTATTTTTCATCATTTATAATCAAGTAATCATAAATATTAATAATTAAATTATTTAAATTTTTTCTATCATCTTCATTCAATATTATATATAAATATATATATAACATAAAATATTAATATGAATATTTTTATTGTTAAATAAAGTACTCTTCGAATTAATAAAATTAATAATGATTTTGTATAATTTATACAATATATTACACAATAGCAATAATTATACAAAAAAAAATTTGGCATAATAAAAAAGATAAAAAAAATCTATCAAATCGAACCAAAATCATAACTATAGTAAAATTTTATTATATTATTTTTTCGTGTTGCTAATATAAAGAATCTACTAATCGACAAAAAAAAAAAATAATCTAATCGAAAATGGATCAATAATTGAATCCAAATTATTTAATTATAGATTAAATTTCTATTCTTTTCTATTCTATTCTATTAAATTTCTATTCGTTTCTATTCTTTAATACATAATTAAAAATAAAATTATCAAAATTAAAATTGAACAAATATTAAATATAAAAATATTAAAATTATATCTTTAGTTTATATTTTTATATATATTAAAATATAATTTAAAAAAAAATTTTTTTTTCAAATTTATATGAAAAAAATTTTGTTTCTTTATTTTATTTCCTAATTTTTCTTTTGTATCACATTCTAGAAATACATAAGATTTTTTGTTTTATAGAAAATTATAAAAATATGAATTAATTTAAAACATTAGTTATATTTCTTTATAATACTAATCATATTTAAAATCATGTTTCAATCATTATTATTTTCAAAATCATATTATTTGAATCTTTTTTAAGTATTTTACACGACAAATTGCATAAGATGAACAAGATTATAAAAGAAGTATATGAGCTATCAAATACGAAAAATATTGATATAAGATATAAGATACAGGTACATATTGTACATAAATTTATAATTATAATGGATTATTATAATAGAAAACATTTTGTTCAATATTTTCTTCAAATTACAAGGTGAGATCTCAACAATATGTAGAATTTTGCAATTTTATAATATTATTGAGTTGAGAAGCTTCAAGACTGGATGACTCCAGATATTTTTATTCCAGAATGTTTATATTTATAAACAATTGTAACATGCATACCAAACTAATTAGTATTTTGATTCATTTTCTTATTGAATGTAATATTATCAAATTTTATCATTGTTTATTATTAAGTATATTTATTGTATATTATTATTGATTTTATAGTTATTAAATATTTTATTGATTTTAATTTATATATTTTATAATTTTTTAATATAAAACTAATATTCTTTCATATTATACAAATTAAGAGCAAAGATATTGGGTGAGATCTAATCAATCAGAACTTTTAAGAATTTATCAAGTCTTACAAGATATAAAATTAAATATTTTCAAAGATTTATTAAATTTATTAAACTTGAAATAGCACAAAATGAATTTGTTTTTTAAATCGTAATATATTAAGCGATATCGTAGTATTTTCCATAATTCATATGATAATTCAAGTTCAAAGTTTATTGATTAGTTTTCTATGAATAATTTTCTAGTTTTCTAATTTTTTAGTTTTTTATGAATAGAATTCTCTTCTGAACAGTTTTCTACAATAATTTCATAGAATTTTCTATTTAAATATCCAATAGCCTCAGCGAGTAAGATAACAAATTCATTAAAATTCATCATAAAAATCATTAAAATATTGACTTTATTTATTATTTTTAAAAAATAAAATTTTGTACTTTATTTATAAAAAAATGAAATTTTAATTTTTTTCAGTTGAGGATGAATTTATCATAAAAGGGATTGCCATTTTATGTAAAAAGTATCACAATAAAATAAAAATTTAAACTAAAAATTTTTTTATCAAAACGAATATTATAAAATACAATGCTTTTTTTGTAAATAAATATTTCAAAAAATATAAAATAAATGAAAAGATTAGACATATGAATGATAAGCAAATATCGATGTATCAAGTTTACATTATTATCATGATGATTTAACGTATGCGTGAACACGTAGAAAATAATTGAAAATTATATCTGGGGTTATCCAACATATATAATTTTTTTTTCTTCTTTTTTTTTGTTTTTGCGTATTTTATTTAAATATCTGATTACTTCCCTTTGCCTTATTGATGATAATTATATTAATAAATATGGTAATATAACGAAAATAAAATAAAATAAAATAATAATATTAATATTATTTTATATTTATATTAATATTAATATTTTATTATTTTTTATTAATTTATTTTTTTTTTATCTATTAAAGGTATGTTCATTTTGAGATTTTAAAACTTTCGCGTGAGCTTAATCAAGCATATACTTATCAAATTCTATTTGAGTTAATAATGCAATTTTCTTTATTATTGTGTACACTTTATAATGAATATTTTCATTTAATGTCATTGAAATTCTCAGAAGCGTTATCAGATAAACAAAATATAGGATTTTTAATATGGATTTGCCTATATTCTACAAAAGTTATTTATATAAACAATCAATGTACTAAATTCTATCGCGAGGTAAGATTATATCTTTGTACACTATAATGAAGATTATTATAATTATATAATTATAGAATTAATATATATATATATATAAGAATTAATATACAGATATGTTAAAATTTTATAGGTAGAAGTAACAGCATATTTGCTTCGAAAACTAAATATTTGCTATTTAGATAATTTCATTAGAGATGAGGTAAGATCCACATTAATATAATAAACTGAATTAAAATTTACCTTGATTTATTTTTGCCAAAGATTATATCTATATATGTAATCTCTTTTTATTCATTTTCATGATTTTAAAAAATCACCATTTTAAATATATAG